GTGGTGGTGGTGGTGGTAGTGGTGGCCTGGATCAATTAACACAAGGTGAGGTAATGGATGTTACGTTATATTGCAGTATTTATATGTTATTTTACAATCTGTAGTGGTGTCCTCATCAGTGGTTTCCTTATCGTATTTATAAGTCTCAAGCAATCACATCGGTAATCGTGTTACACTAGTAGTCACGTGTCTTATTTATGGTACAGTCTAATAAACTAATATTCAGCCTAATATGTGACCAGCATTAGCGCCCTTTTAAAGCCAATCACATGAAAGGAAGAATTAAGAGAGTGTGGGGTATATTCTCGTTTTGACTGGCGCTCTAGAGACATACTCTGTACATGCATTACGTTAATTAGGTTTCTTTTTATTGGCAGATTTCCTGTTCGCGACCCCCGGAATTGCATACGAAGTATAGCTGCTTTTCTATCAGAGAGCCCATTACAACCCAAGACGCTTTGAGGAAAATTCTGTACTGAACACAGCTATAAGTAAATTACACAGTGTCTTTTTCATGTATACTACAATTTATACATAGCTGCAAGGTGTAACATTATGTCTATTAATTATGCCACTCGGATTTGTTGTATCAGCTTCATGAAACATCATCTAGTCAGTGTTGTTTAGTAAACATTTTATTACTTTAATATACGAATGCTAGGGCAAACAATGTCCGAATAACTCAAACTGCAATAGAAAGATAAAATAGAAAGAAGAAAAGCACTACTTCCTGTGAAAAAAACTTTTTTTCAGAACCTTAAATTAAACGAGTTAAAACTCACTGGAAGTTTATATATCTGTGTTATCAACAATTACTTTAATAAACATGGTATCGTCCTTTACGTAGGCGCGATTGTTTAACTCAGATAGAGGACAAAAGGTGGGGCATCCGCTGGCAATATTGGTTTCTCTTCGAGGCCTCTGGAAAGAAGAGCTGCTGGGATCAGGCCTGAACGAGTCGATCACGTGCTCCACGTTATCTTGATCTATTAGCATAAATGTGATCTTCTGTCTGAATGGCCAGCGGAGTAGCGCATCATACTGACCGCGCATGATAACAAAYAATAKAGAYATGTGCGTTCCTTTSCCTTTTCCATCTCCGTTTAGATAGAGGCGCGCGCACATCTTGTAGCCATGGTGACTAGTATAGAAACACGGACTATAGGTAGATACGTGTTGGCCTGTTATTGCCTCATTTCTTCGACGAGCGAAGTCAGTAATCTTCCATATGAGCACACCATCAAAGCTCGAGAACTGTTCTTGCTTAACATATTCTTCCAGTTCCGCTATAGCAAAATTTCTGGCACTTAGAGTATGCTCTAAATACTCTGTTCGTCGCTGAAGTTTTCTTATTTCATCATTAGAAGTTTTAAGTTGTGTTTCTAACCTTTTTACTTCCTTATTCTGATTTTGCATCATGGAGTTTAATTCAACTAAAAGAACTTCATGATTAGCTGTCTTAGCATCCTGATTTTCCAGCATTTGTAAAATTTTCTTTGTCGCAGCTTGAGATAGGCGATGCAATGAAGAATTTAAGGGAGTGCTGTCTGGTACTACGTCATCCATTAAACAACGTTTGATGCTCTGTTCTAGGTTGCTTATGCGTGTGCCATGCCCTTTCAGTATTGATGAAAAGTTCGAACTTTCATTGATTACTGCATCTACCTTACGTAATAAACTTTCAATGGTATTACCCATGCTGGTGATGACTTGGGACTTTTCAAAAGCATTGAAATCCCCAAGTTTGGAATAAAAGAAGTCTGAAAGTCGTTGGACGAATAAAAGAAGATAGCTTAAATGACGTACTGCTTCTTTATCCTGGTGGTCTCTGCTTTCTTCTCGTTTCATTGTCTGCAAATTAATACATAAGAAATTATTACTGAATAATCACAATGATGCCAAGCAAGCCATGGATTGAGATACGGATTCATAGTCGGTGAACAACGTTAATGAAATGAGCAGGGTCTCAGGGTCAGCGTCATCAACCATGGCGCGTAGCTCAGTCACAAACGCGTTGAAATGACAGATACGAAAGCTTTGGTTGAATTAAAATCTGTATAGACGCTGATCGACTTTCGAGCGGCTCTGCCGGCCCAGGAGTACAGTGTCAGTAATTTGCCAAGAGTGACAGGCTATCTGGCTATCTCTGTCTGTATGCGAATCCCCCCGGAATAGTATCTATAACTACTCACCTTTCCATGTTTGCATCCTATGCTTTCAAAAGCACAGAGCACCTCAACAGCCGTACAGTCACCATTAACAGCATCAAGGTGGCTTGAAAGCTTAAGTGAAAATAAAATTTCTGGTTAGAACAGCAGTCGCTCCAAATCTTTCCCTTTAACTTCTTGTTACGGGAAATGTAACGGTCACTATTTAAACGTCTCCATATATCAACTGAAATGATAGCTTTTTAGAACAGAATTATTTTTCTTCTGGTAAACGGAGTCTGACCATGACGTTATAATGTAGAAGTAAATTCAGAGACCTCTTGTTCATTGGGACAGTGTATGCAGTGTCGCATAACTGTTGATTTGTTACGTTAGGGTTAGGGGTTAGGATTAGGGGTTAGGGTTAGGGTTAGGCTTGCTGTTAGTTTACCTGCTTTCGTGGGAGTTTTACAGTTGAACACTTTGGACAGTCCACGGGGTATTCTTCGCAATCATTCTCTTCGTGTTCCTGTATAGCAAAGCCGAATAATTGAAGTTGCTTTCACAAAACAAGACAAAAACTGTACGCTAATACAGCCTGGCTATCAGGTGACTGTTTCTTAATTCATACTGCAAATGTCGTGTTGGGCACTAATCCCTTTAAAAAGCACTAGCGGTGTTACTAGTTTTGCCCCTGTGTCTTCCTCGGTTTGCAACTATGCATTATCCTTGACTCGGCCCTGGTCATCAAAGCAAGATGAAAGAAGCCATGCATATTGATTGGTAGAAAACAAATCAAGGTTGCCAAACTTAACATTCTGCTAACAAGTTTGATGTTGTTGTTCCCGAATGATAATACTATTTGTTTCCTTTATGATTGGTATTTAACGTGACCGTAACACTTTAAATGCAATTAGAATCATTGTGTTTTCTTCAGTTCCTCCTATCTATTTATTTATTTATTTATTTTATTCCTCCAATTCCTAGCTAATACATAGATATGTAAATATAACGTAAAGAAAGTAAATAGTAACCGATAGTGCTTTGTAAGGAAGAAAAAA